ACCACTGCTTCTAAGTTATGCAACGTTGATGTATAAGCCACTCTACTTTAAGCAAGAAGACAAAGCAAGCTACTTAAGTCTGCCTTCTCATGTGATTTTATTTGAGCTTTTGCGCGTATTTCTTCTTGATTATTGCTAAAGGCCTATTTTCTTGTGGCCTTGCATGTGGGGCAAAAGTTTTGTTCTTTTATTTTGCCGAGCAAACACATTCATCTTAACCATCGGAGGCCCAAGCAACACTCAAACGGAGCTGAGGTTAATTTAAAGCGCAAGAACCAAGGTTAGAACGGTCTGTTTAAGGCGTCTAGTGGCTTGATGAAAGACAAGGAAGCGGAAGCCACGACAACTTCTGTAAAAAACCACAATATTTTTTTGTATTTGCCTAATGTTTATCAGCTGATCGGGTGTCAGAATGAATCCATTTATTCTGCCGGATTAACAGCTTTTTCACGTTAATTTAGCGGTATAAGGAAACCCGAATTTTAAAAAAAACAGCTCAGAATGTGCTTGATGCAGAGTATTCCACATTTATCAGGATACGTGTGGTCTTTGTATGCTGCTGAGAAACTCTCACATGAGAAATGAATTGGAGAAACATTCAAACACAGTGTTCAATCATAAGCACATGCACTCAAGACCAATGCTTGTCCTAAGCTGTGCACAGCTGCAGTTTCATGAGCTTAGAAAAAGTTTAGAAAAAAAGAAGATGACTGTATTATTTACTTGACGACTGACCAATCTGGGCCAACATTGACTGTATCAGTATGCATTGTTGAAACACCATGAGAACCGTGAGTAACACCACACAAATCAACCACTCTGTGCCCGTGCTGGAACGTGCAATGTGTTTTTGCACCACAGAGAGGGGGAAATGACCTCACTCACCGTTTCTATTTGGAAGGACCTGAATTAAGAAGCAAACACAGCGAACATTCACTGTAAAGCCCTTTAAGAACCAGTTAACACCTAAAATTATTCAAAAGCTACAGGGTGTCGTGTGTGTGTGCTGCTGTGTGTGTGTGGTTGCTGTTGTGTGGGTGTGTGTGGTGGTGTGTGTGTGTGTTTACCTTTGCAGGTTGTGGGAACTCTCTCTTGGTTTGCCCACATGCCACGGCGTTGTTACCATGTCACGCTGGTTTCACTTTCCTGTCACAGAAAAAGAAAACCCACACGGATGTCCTTTACTTAAGCACTTAACACCAACGGACAACAGCTGTAGGACACATACTCTTGGTACAATGCAATGGAATCTGCGAAGTACTTGTTAAAGCTTTCAGTGAACATAGTGGAGTGGCAAATGGGAATAATATCCAAATTAAGAACCTCAGAATCTATACTATTTGACGGTTTTGTTTGTTTTTATAGTATAATGCTGAAGGTTTGTTAGTATGTATGGTAAGACTGTGTGCAAAATGGTACCTGTCACCAGGCCACTAGCGCGCAGCAGCTGGGCCCTAGGCTCTGGAACACTCTGGCCGCCTCCAATGTCGAGTCGGCCCAGGACCCTAGCGGGTTTTTAAATCTTACTCTTAAAACACCACTACTTCTCCCTGGCCTTTTAGGTCAGAGCGGGAGCCACGACTCCTGACTGGTTTCTCCTGTGTTTTATTATATATCTGTTGTAATTTATTGTCTTTTATTGTGATTGTAGTATTTATTACATGTACAGCACTTTGGCCCGACCAAAAATCGCTTTTAAATGTGCTTTATAAATAAACTTTGATTTGATTTGATTCACCCGTTTGAAGAGCAGGCAAAGCGCAGCAGGAGAAGTTTTAGTGAGGAAAGCTGAGAAACAATTGTGCAATATGAAGGAGAAAGGGCGGTGGTGGCGAAGTCGATAGGGACTTGGCTTGGAAACTGGAAGGTCAACAGTTCAAGTCCCGGCAAGACCAAGTGCTACCGAGGTGTCCCTGAGCAAGGCACCGTTCCCTACACTGCTCCCCGGGCGCCGTACAAAATGGCAGCCCACTGCTCCTAACACTAGGATGGGTCAAATGCAGAGAAACAATTTCCCCACAGGGATTAATAAAGTATATCAAAATCAAAAAAAAAAAGAAAAAAAAAAAAAAGAAAGGCAGAAGAAACAGAGCAAACAAACAAAAGAGCAAACAGATGGAAGTCTTCAGCCTGCTGTGCAGCTTCCCCCCATCAGGGGGAGGTGTTGCTGCATAAGTGACGCCAAGGTTACAACCACTCCTCTGCTGCTGGCCAAGACGTTTGACACTAAAGATATATTGGTCGTAAATTTGACGTTAAAACAATGTCACACGTCATTCAGCAATGCTCCTGCATGCGGACATAATGTCTCCAGAAGACCTGCTGAGATCAGCAGCTGGTGTCCTACTTTAAGAAAGGGACACAGTGTCTGCCAAGGGACAGGAATCTTTTATTTTTCCATGCCATAAAATACAAAACAAACGTATTCTACATACTTTTGCTGTTTTGTCAATGTTGTAAAAGAAAAAAAGAAGCATAACAATGTCTTTGGGTGGGACAAAATATGAAGGGTGTGACCTTTTGCCCTTGCTTGAAGGAGACTTTAAACATGGAGTGACTGAGAGATTCAAACATAGTTTTTGAGCTAAAGTGAGTCCAATACAAAAGAGGACTGTTTAAAAGTAGGAGTCTGGTCTGTAACGGCTGTAATATAATCTTGTCTAAAGTGATTGACGTATGGAGCGATGAATTAATGGCATTGCAAGCAGGCATGTTGGCATTCAGCAACCTGACACACACACAACTACTGCTGTTCAGCTTTGTAGTTCGACTGTCCAACAATAAGAGTATAATATTCTTCTACCCGATGATTTTCCACATGTTTAGGCTAAAATACACATGTTAAAACTTTCACATCATGTCAAGAATAATACACAGAGAGAGTTGGGGCTTTAGTAGCAGATGTTGTGAAGGAAACTGTCCATGTGGTGTCACTAGACTCCAGGCAGCAAACTTCTCAGATATATATATAATGCCTGCAGCCAACAAAAGATTGGCTTGTTGATGTGCAAATGAGCACATTAGCATGTGCAGAATATCAACGGATTACTCTTTTGAAGTAACACTGGTGTCTTATTCACAATAGAGTGTATGTGCGTGTAAAGAGGAGGATTTATGAGGCCTTACGGCTGGCTTTGCTGCTGCTGGTGATGCTGCTGCTGCTGCTGCTGTGCTGGTGCAGGTGCTGCTGTCTTCTCCGCCTCCGGAGGCTTTGCCATCCAACTGTTGACACGTCCAGTCACGCCTCCTTTGATGCCAGCCAGATCCTGGGGAAAAGAGACATTTCAACTACTCACTTCACACATGAGTAAATCTCTCTGTCCTCCCCTCTTGGTGTCTTTCTCTCACTTTGTTGGCGGGGGCTGGACTTTCAGAGGAGCCCCCGACGTTTCCTTTCTCCCACATGCTCTTTATGCTGCGAGCTCCTCCTGTAGGAATATCTGCCATCGGAGACTTGGGGGATTTCACGTCTTTGTTTCCCTGTGGAAGTAGAGGATGGATTTGACTACTTTGACATGAGGACAACTGCTACATTGACTGGTGGAAAGTCACTTTTTATCGAGAACTTTAAGTACAATTTGAATGTGCTTGTATTTGAGTTTTTTCATTTTGTGTTCCTTCATACTTATCAACTATTTTGAAGAGAAATGAACGACAATTGTACTTTAATACTTTTTGACATCTTTAGTTACTAATCACCGTATAGATTAAGGCTTTACATTAAACAACTCATATGATTATACAATAAAAATGCATTGTTGAGTATTACAAATACAAAAACGTTGTTATGTTTGTGTGTTTATGTATTTGTTTATGTATGCTTATGAAATATTATCATTTAAACCAAAGACAGATTTATTCTCTACACTTTCTAACAGTCCACTTTTCAGCTGTTTTCTAATTCTGTCATTTCAATTATTAAACTATTACAAAAGATGGAATGTTTATGTTTCTTCCTTTTAATTCATTTCATTAATCATCTCGGATCTTAAAACCAACTGTACCTCAACCAACTACAGCAATGAAAGGTTTCTAACACACTGATGTCAAATACAGTCATAATGTTATAGTATACATGTATCAAAGTGTTTGACTTACAGTGGGTTTTTCTTATGTGGAAAACAAGTACTTCCGCTGATGCTTTGATACATATTGCTGATAAAACGACACCTTCAAATTCACGTTATGGACGATTTTAACTGTTGTATTTAGTTAAATTAAGACATTAGCCGCGTTCACACCGGAGTACTTTTCCCACTTTAGTTCCGATATAGTTCCGAAATGTCGCGTTCACACCAAAAAGAGCCGGAACTAAAATTAGTTCATGAGAACCTTTTTACCCCCTTTTCCGTCCCTGCTAGAGAGCAGGGACTCTCATGCGGCTCTCTTGTGAGAAAAGAGCTATATTTCTGATTGGCTGGGCGGATTGCAAACTACGCCCCGTAAAACTCAAAAAAAGTGTTGTTTAGCCACCATTTTATTAGCATTATTAGCATTATTAGCATTAGCCCAGCGCAGAAACGCAGAGAGACTAACTTATGGCAACACAAAATAAAACATGGGAGCGGTGGAGATGAGGAGGTGTCGGCGTTCTGGCGATTTACTCGGAAGGCTTCTACTGAAGCCAGTCCCCAACAACCGGTGACTTCCGGCCGGGGATTTTGGGCGGCAGTATACGCCGTGAAGTTGTTTGCGGCCTGCCAGTAAACCCAAAGCAGAAGAAGAAGAAGTGACGTCAGCGGCTTCATTTGCCTAATCCACCCCCAGGGATTTATTCCGGTGTGAACGCGATCTGTACTTAGTTCATCAGAACTAAAGAGTTCTGATGAACTAAGTTCTCATGAACCTTTGTGGGAAAAGTACTGCGGTGTGAATGCGCCTTTTGAGTACTTCTCTCAGCACTCCTGAGGAAAGTGCATCATGAGTCTCACCAGGATGGCAGAGTTGTACTGCTCCATTCTGTTGCCGATCTTGGACACAATTGGAGAGTGAGACGCTCTGGCTGTGGTGCTGTGTGGATGAAAAACAAATGGGTCATTGGTGTGGAGTAATAAAAGTGTCTTGTTTATGACTTATTTATTTGACTGTAAAATATATGCCAAAAAGGTATGGCTCACCTTTTCTGGGCTGATTTGCTCAAGAATTCTGCCTTTGCCCCGATCTGTACAGAACAGCATGGTTTCAGTTTATAAAGCAGTCTTTGGTTGACGTTCACAAATACACACTGACATGGTCAAGCTGCCCTGGCTTCCTTCCTGTCTCTGAGACGCTCTGACTGAGAGGCAGAGCAGTATGTCCCTGGGAAGATGTCTCTGTACTCACTTAAAGCCTGAGTGACTGGTCTTTGAGAGGGAGCCAGGATACACAAGTGCACACCGACTGAGAACTGCTGGTCAAAATGAATTATACCTGCCGTGTGCTCGTAGATTTACACACACAGTTCTCAACATTCCTCTGAAATGACCCGGCAAGAACATTACCCAGTCATGGTCTTGTACAAAAACAACCACATTGGAGTACAGCGAAGACGCCAGTTCACTTTGATACTTGTCAACCAACATTACATGAGTAATATTAGAGGATTTAAAATGGGAACAATGGAAGAAAAAACACATTTGACCCCAAAAAATATGTTACACTTAACAATATCTGACATATTGATGGAAATAAATGAGAACTGAAATGCTATAAACTAAGAAGACAAGCACAGCTTCCTGGAAGATTTAAAAAATATTTCAGAAAGATATTTTCTTTCATCAACAAGAATTTGAAAGAAATGTATTTCCCAAAATGTCAGTGTTGGGAAGTATGGAGAAGTCTGACTCCATCTCAATCAAACATGGAAGTAAATACAATTGTGTTTTTTGTAGTCGAAGCATTTAGAAGTGACTTTCTTTCCCAAACTCACCTTTGAGGAGCCTTTGGGAGTGATAGCTAACACAGGATTTGGAGACTCTTCCTCCTTCTGTTTCTTCTTCTCTGCAGCCTCTGCCCTCCTCTTCTCTATCTCCTCCTTCATCCTCTTCCTCTCTTCCTGTAACAACAAACACAGGTTTCGGTCACAACCCAAATGGTATCCAATGTGGAGTATTTCACTGATGTGATGTATCCCTGAGTGTAAAATCCATCCTCACCTGTTCTTTGGCTTTCTTGTCCTCCAGCTGCTGTTTCTTCAGCTTGTCCTCCTCCTCTACGATCTTCCTCCTGTCCTCCCTCTTCTTCTTCAGCTCCTCCAGCTCTGCCTCTGCGCTCTGCGTCTTCTGCTTCATCTTCTCCAGATCCTCGCTCTCCGCATCGTTTTGCCGGCTCTTCTCTGTTTTCTTCAGTTTATTCTCAAAGAGTCCTGTGTTCAGTTTGGCCGGTTCGTTCTGTCAAAACCGAGTAAGTAAACAATATATCTATATTAGCGTGTAAACAGATCATATTATTCACAACATGTAAATAAATACATTTGCCAGGATGAAAAGTTGCAGATGAATGAATGCAAGATATGACAAATGATTTTACCTTGTCCTTGAATCCAAATTTCTTTGGTTTCTCTTCCTTCAAAACAGAGAGAGGACATTATTTTAATTATTTTAAAAACTCACATCATGTAGCAAAAAAGCCATCCAATGCATGTGATCTGTGAGTATACTAAGAAATCACATCATGTAGCAAATATCTTTCAACTGTGTTGACTAATCTAAAGACTTGGGACTTGTGAGGACTCAAAACAGGAACATTACAGCTTTTATTCAACTAGTTCCAGGTTTTTCAAGTTAAGAAAAACACAATTTCTTGAGTTTTGACAATTTTAAGTCTTTTAAAAGTATGTGTTTTTTTAAATGTGTACATGGAC